ACAAAGAAGCTAAAATGGAACAAAGAAAATATATTCAACAAATGGTGCTGGTTTAACCACCTGTCAACATGTAGAAGAATGCAAATAGATCTATATCTATTGCCATGAACAAAACTCAAGTTGAAATGGATCAAAGACCTCAATATAAATCCATCCCCACTGAACTTCATAGAAGAGAAAGTGGGAAATACATTTGAATGCATAGGCACAGGAGACCACTTCCTACATAAAACACCAGTAGCACAGACACTGAGAGCAATGATTAATAAATGGGACCTCTTGAAACTGAGAAGCTTCTGTAAAGCAACAAACATGATCAACAAGACAAAACAGCTCCCTACAGAGTGGGAAAAGATCTTCACCAACCCCACATCTGACAAAGGGTTGATCTCCAAAACATACAAAGAAATCAAGAAACTAGAAATCAAACTACCAAATAATCCAATTAAAAAATGGGGTACAGATCTAAACAGAGAATTCTCAACAGCACAATCTCAAATGACAGAAAGACACTTAAAGAAAAGCTCAACATCCTTAGTCATCAGGGGAATGCAAATCAAAACCACTCTGAGAGTCCATCTTACACTGATCAGAACGGCTAAGATCAAAAACACCAATGGCAGCTTATGCTGGAGATGATGTGGAGAAAGGAGAACTCTCCTCTATTGCCGGTGGGAGTGCAAACTTGTACAGCTGCTGTGGAAATCAGTATGGCGATTTCTCAGAAAATTAGGAATCAACCTATCTAAGACCCTGAAATACCACTGTTGGGCATATACCCAAAGGAGGCACATTCACACCACAAGGACATTTGATCAACTATGTTCAAGCTACATTATTTGTAATAGCCATATCTTGGAAACAACCTAGATGGTCCTCAACTGAAGAACTGATAAAGAAAATGTGGTATATTTACACAATGAAGTTCTACTCAGGAGTAAGAAACAATGACATCCTAAAATTCACAGGCAAATGGACAGAACTAGAAAGAAAACCATCCTGAGTGAGGTAACCTCAAATCAGAAAGACAAATATAGAATGTACTCACTCATAAGTAGATACCAGACATAAAGCAAAGGATACCCAGCCTACCATCCACAACCCCAGAGAAGCTAGAGCCCTCTTCCAGAAATAGATGAAAGCAGATGCAGAAATCCACAACTAACCAATGGGCCAAGCTCCTGGAGTACAATCGAAGTGAGGGAGGAGTGATAATATGAACAAAGGAGTCAAATTCGTGATGGGGAAACCCACAGAATCAGCTGACCTGAGCCAGTGAGAGATCACTGCCTCAGGTCTGACAAATGTGGAACCTGCATAAAACCAAACTAGTCTCCCTGAATATAGGAGACAATGGTGTGACTGGGACAATGTATGAGGCCACTGGCAGTGGGTCAAGATCTAACTCTAATGCACAGACTGACTTAGTGGAGCCCATTCTAGATGGAGAGATACCTTGCTCAGCCTAGACACAGGGGTGTGGGGGTGGAGAGGTGCCGTGGTCCTGCCTCAATGAGATGATGGGACAGACTTAGTAGACTTCCTAGGGGAGCAGATGGGAGGAGGGGGATGTGAGGGGAGCAGGAGGAGAAGAGGGAGGGGGAACTGGGATTGGAATGTAAAAAAAAAGGCAAGGGAGTATTAAAATTCCAAAATTTTCTGGTTGCAGCGGCCTTTAATTTAACAAGCAGTATAACAGGGCACGACCCTTAGGGAAGATGCATTTTGACCCCAGCAGAGTCCTGTGAGAGCCCACTTCCTGTGTCACAGACAGCTGGCTTCTCACTGTGTCCTTGTGGAGGAAGAGGCTAGGAGCCTCCACCGCACCTGTCCCCCCCCCCAGCTCTGCACCACAGGGACCCCACAGAGAAAGGAGGTGAACAAGGGACGGCTGGGACTTTCACATCCCAGGTCACTGCCCGTGGAAACCCGCAGCCAGGAGCTGCCTTTTATTCTGGCGGGCCTCTTGAACACCAAGGGTGAGTAACAGGAAGATCACAGCCGCGCTGAGCTTTGCTTTAAAGAGACATATGCCCCAGCATCAGCAAGGAGACCTGCATGTCGATCACTTTATCTGCACACAGAAAACTGTTCACCTGCCTCCAGGTGTGAATTCTGTTCAAGATGCTAAGCAGGAAATTGCTTCGGAACCTCTCCAGGCCCGGGACTGAGCTCTCAGGGCTGGGCGATTAAAACAGCTCTTCTCTTTTAAACCAGCCTTGGGAGGGATGGAACTGGGGACGACGGGCTCCTGCATTCCGCAGAAGCCTAGAATAAAACGCAGGCAGCCCTGCCGCGCAGCAGGGACAGAAGACTCCGCTGTTCTTGTCCCCTTTCTTTTCCTGCCACCTCCTAAGGAAGAAAGTTTTTCTTCATGCACCTCTGGGTATGCAGAAATTGAAAATGAGTGCATATTCTGGCTTTGTTTATGGCTGGTAAAGGACTTGGGGGTTTGTGCATCAGGTCTGGGAATTGCCTTCCACAGCCACAACCAGAAGGGGCCCAGATGACGGCAAAGGCAGGGACTCCTGAGCTGAGACACTATCCTGGCTACTTTTATGTCTCTTGACACAGCTAGAGTCATCTGAGAGGAGGAGGCTTCAACTGAGAAAACGCCTCCATAATTTCGGGCTGTACACAAGCCTGCATGACATCCTCTTAATTAGTGATCGATGGGGAATGGCCCAGTCCATTGTGGCTGGGGCCACTCCTGGACAGCTGGTCCTGGGTTCTGTAAGAAAGCAGGCTGAGCAAGCCATGGGCTGCAAGTCAGTAAGCAGCTCCCCTCCACAGTCTCTGCATCAGCTCCTGCCTCCAGGTTCTGCCCTGTTTGGGTTCCTGTCCTGACTTCCTCACCCAGTTGCTTTGGCCATGGTATTTTATCATAGCAATAACAACCTTAACTGGGACAGATAGCGAGTTGCTTCATGCTTGTGGGGTGGTTTGAGATAGCCTCCCAAGTGTCTAGGAAGGATAGGGCATTGCTCAGAAACCGAGCCTCACCCTAGAGTGTTTGAACTGGGCGAATAACATGAGGGTCTAGCGCCACCTAGTGTCTCCTTGGATCTTGTTGAGGACAGGACGCTCTTGCTCTTTTTCTGTGAAACTAGCTCTAACCTCCAGTGGGACCGAAATGAAAGAACACTTTTTTATTCCTTCTGTATGGGGCTGTCCTCCTGCCCATGACGAAAGACTAGAATTTGGTGGGAGACGCTGAGAAGCCACAGTCTTAATGTGTCTCAGGCGAGATTGTTGGTGGAGGGGAAGGAAGCCAGAATGACTCATATGTAATATTTAGAATCTTCGTCTCAAAAGATTGGCTCATACTAGGAAAAAAAATTACTTGGCCCTATTTCATGGCTCCTGTGCTTTTTCAAACCAGTTTTCAGAGCTCTCAGAACCAGTACAAGATCTGTTTGCAGAATCCTTCAACCTGCTTGTCACGGAACCCGCCAAATCTTGGCCATCAGTCTCTCCTTTGAGCTCTTGCAACACTGACCACCTTCTAACTTTCTGCTGATTACAGCCACCATTTGCTGTTTGTTCTCATTAAAATATCTGCCGTTCAGGGAAACGGTATCCCCATTTCACTCTTGAGAAAACCAACCCTCGGGAGAGGGGAGACACATGACTGCCCACTTCCCAAGTGCTAGTATTATGTTATGCACCACCACACCACGCCACGCCATGCCACGCCACCCTGCACACCACACCCAGCTTTCCAAGTCTCCCTCGCAACCCTGCCCACCTTGCTTTAAGAGTCGTTTGCGTTATCTTATGGGTGTGGGTGTTTGCCTGCACTGATGTGTGTGTGCCACGGGCATGGCTGGTGCTTCAGGGTCCAGAAAGGGGTGCTGGACCTCCTGAAACTGACAGTGGAAATGGGGTTGCAGACGGTTGTGAGCCACGATGTGGGTGCTGAGAACTCCGTGGGAAAGCAAAGGCTTTTAACCACCGAGCCCTCTATTCAGTCCTTGCAGGTGGTTTTTGAAGACACCTTTTATTTCACTTCCTGCCCTGGGCCAGTCACTGTGACCCTCAAAGGTTGAACCCTGCTGTAAATACCTGCCTTCCTCACAGCATCTGTTCTGCTGCCAGCCCTCAACGAGGCTGACACGTCCTCAGTCTGCCCTCCTCCGCCAGTGGAAACCACCCCAGAGAAATAATCCAGAGGGCCGAGCAAATGTGCAGCGTCAGGACCATGGCTTTGTCTCTGCCTCCTGCTTGTTGGTTTTATGCAATGGAAAAGTAGAAAATTTCCCTGCTTACTCCTCCCTCCAGTCCCCTTCCCTAGACTCCCTCCACCTGCTCCGTCACACAGACACACCTCCAGAGGAAGGCTAAGTCAGGCCGCCCTCTGGATTCCCTCCTGACACACATTCTTACTTAAGCACACAACTTCTCACAGAAGGTTTGAATAGGGGACAAGCCACAGCCCAGCCCAACCCTGACCTCCACCAACCATGCAAAGTTCCTGGCTGCTGTCAGCCTCAGCAGGTGCTCTGTAGGGACACCAGAGGAAGCTATGTTGTTAGCCTGTGGAGGGGAGATTAGGACACGTCCTCCTCAGATAAGACCACTGAAGATGAACAGACACTCTATGGAGCCGGGTGTGGAGTGTGGGGAAGGAACAGTGTGGGCTTTGCAGATGCTCACTCTGCCCAGTCTTCACCTCCTCCCCTTTCCACAAGGAAGTCTGTCTCCTTCTGCAAAATGGATCCTAAGACACGTGCAGGCATATACACACACATACACACACACACGCGCGCGCGCGCGCGCACACACACACACTCACACGCACACACTCACTCACACATGCACAGACTATACCATACAAACCGACCTCCACAGGCACCCTACAGGCCCCATGACCACACACGTATATACCACACACACTCCATACATGCCTACCTCCACTCCCGTACCACACACCATACACACCACACACCTGCCCACAAAGCCACATGCACCCCACAACCCCCACCATGCCGTTTCCTAGATGCATGGAACCAGTTCTGTTTATTTTTTGGAGTTATCTTGGAAGGCAGCTTTTCCAATAAAACCCGGGTGGCCAGGATTGCACACACGTCCTTTAGCGGAAGCAGGAAAGGCAGGAGCAGGAAGCCCTGTTTACCATCTATGGTTTGCAGGAGGCAGGGTCCCAGGGGCTGTCTCCTGTGTCACAGGAAGGACACAGAGGGGGTTGTCCATGACAGTGCAGCCAGGCTAATGCAGCCACAAGGCGACAATGCAGTCCAGCCTTCGGGGGAGGCACTTGGCACAGATTCAGTTTGACATCGTCTTTCCTCAGATGCCTCCTTTGAAAGTCTCTTGATTTCTTCACAGGCTTTTCTAATTTAAGATGCCTCCACCAGCTTGGCAGCCGTGGAGTTTCTCCACCAGAGAGGAAATAGCCTGGAGAGGCTCCAAAGGAACAAAGGCCTCATTAGAATCAATCATGCACTCTAAGTACATACGGCCAAGAATCTTTATTGATGATCTCACATACAAATGCAGTGGTAATTAAGAATATAATGCAGACGGCTTGAGCTTAGCAACTCCTTCCGTAATAGAAATTTACTAAATTAAGACTGAGATTTTTGAAATCAGGTCTTTAAAAATATCCCCTCTATTATAACTATCCTCTCCTCCCTGCCACCCACCCCTTGGTAATATAATTAGTTTAAAATGAGATTCACGACACAGTTGGTGGCGCTGCCCACTGGTGTGGTAGCACTGGCTCTCGGACACGCTGCTCCTGTGACCCAGGGAAGCAGGAGGGGAGGGGTCATGGAGGCCCGTTAGAGGAGGCTTCGCTGTGTCACCAAGCACACAGCAGGATTAAGTGTGGCCTTCCAGGCAGAAGTCAGCTCACTTCTGTTCTGTTCTCCCAGACCTGGCATAAACTAGCTTCCTTTCTAAGAAAGAAGTGACTGCGGCTTTACTCCTCTGAACAGAAACTGGGCATGAGCCAAAGGCGCTGGGGATCGTCAGAATCTCTCCTCTCTGTCTCAGGGCAGAGATGAACCCCATAACCTGGGACCCAGCCCCTGTCCTCCATGCTGAGTCATCAATGCCTCAGCTTTCCTGATCTGCCCCAGCAGAGGGCAATGCCCATCCACCTCAGCCTGTCGGGAGTCCAGAGGAACTCTGGGACCTGGGACAACTGTAGCAGGAGCTTCAGCCTGCCTCCCCAACTTCACCCCCCCCCAGTTTGACCCTTGTCAAAACTGGAAAGGGGACTGACTCTGTCCTGAGTATGCCAGTCCTTTCAGAAGACCATGTCAGCCTCTTCCGTCATAGTCACATGAATAATGAAAATACTTTTGAAATCACACAGTTTGGTCAGACTGCTCCCAGGGAAGCTATGGACCCTCTCTCTTCCATCGAACTTTCTGCCTCTGTCCCCCAACCCCTCCAGCCCTAACACACAAAAGCACCTGCTTCTAATTGACCCTCTCCTGGGAAAGCCCAGGTTTGCTCAGGACACTTCTGCGACATGTCATTAAACAGCAGCTCTGAGTCCGGCATGGTCCTCACACCTTTAATCCTAGCACCAGAGAGGCTAAGGCAGGAGGATTCCATAGGTTTGAGGCCAACCAGGACTATGTAGCAAGCTCTAGCCCAGTCAGGGATACAGAGTGGCCCTGGGCTTTACAAGCAATCCAGCAGCAATAACAATAGTAGAAACAAAATGCTCTTTGGTAGGTTCAGAGACACACAGAAAATGCTTCTTGCTGCCCCTTAAAAGTGTGTGCACTTAGCCAGGTGGTGGTGGTGCATACCTTTAGTTCCAGCACTCAGGAGGCAGAAGCAAGCAGATCTCTGTGAGTTCAAGACCACCCTGTTCTACAGAGCAAGTTCCAAAACAGCTAGAGCAAATATGCAGGGAAACCCTGTCTCAAAACACCATATGTACACACAAGCACATGTACGTGTTTTCATGGCGTCAGCTCCCATCACTGGTGTTTAAAATCCTAAGAAATGCTCAAAGCCGCAGGGTTGCTTCTGGAGGCTCTATTATTGATGAGATAAATAAAGTCCATAGCACTCTTTCTCTGGATGAGCCCTGGTTTACTGACCTGGGTTCCCATCATGGCAGATGCCGAGTCAACCTTAGTTAAGTGATTAATGACTCTTGTCAAAAACCTTTGGAAGGGAAAAATGCTTTACTTCCAAATCTTGAATTGAGGACCTGTGGTCGGATGCCAGCCAGCCTGTGGTTGCTGTCTGTACACTGGCTGTAGGGAACATGTCTACAAGCTCTCAGCTGTCACAGTGCTGCTGGCCGGGACCACATTTACCCATTCCACTTCATCTCTGCGCACAGAACCCTCAGCCTGCACCCACTGAACATCAGCTGAGCGACTTAGACCTAAACATTTCCACACCAGCAAAACTGAACCACCACCAAACACTGCGTCTTGTCCAGCCACCTCTAAACTGCTGCATTCCTCATGCTTTGGCTCCCCAGGCCGTCACAAATCTGCCCAAGCTTCCCCTTAGCCTTTTATTCCTTGTAATCCCATCTGAGCCTCATGGCGAGTGGAAACACCACTTGCCCTGGGAGCCCACACAGCCCACAGCCACACTGTTCCTCCAACCTACCACAGCAGAAGGCCCCATGGGCCTGCATGGAGCAGTCTTTAGGTTCCCAGCATATGCATTTTCTCCTCGTCATTGGTAGAACTTCTTGAGGACAGCAGCTCGATCTCCTGCTTTTCACACGGCTCATGGGATCTGTTTCAACATGACTCTGTAACCTGAGTGAGCTAAAGATGGGCTACGGGTTCCGACAGGCTCCATTCCACTCAGCGAGACCCTAATAACTTCACAGAGCGCATGGCTGTGCACTCAGCGCTGGGTGTCCACAATGGAATAAAACACAGAAACTCACCTGAGCTTGTGTAGATTTTATATTCCAAGTGCGCTTTCCCTTCAGCCACTCAGTTATGCAGACAGCTGGATGACCTTCCTCATCTAATCAAGGGAGAGGTTCCTACCATATTAGAACCAAGTGCCAACTGTCTCTGAGACTTGGAAGGAAGTACCCTTTTCAGTGACAAGCCACATGATGTAGCTCCCCGAGACCACGTGAGAAGCCGATGAAAGAGAAGACAGGCCTGTTTAAATGCCAGTTGTTAAACTGCAGGACTGCTCTGAGAATGGGCACTCAGTGGTGAGGGTTCCCAAGACTCCCAGCTCATCCTCCACATGGGCTTCCTGTGCCGTAACCTGAGTCCCCACAGTGGGTCACTGACTCAAGCCACCTTTGTGAACTGGCCAACAGTGACGTGCAGAATGAAGAAGCTATGTGAACAGCTGGTCCCTGATATGCTAGGGTCTCTCTGCCCATCAGCTCTCCACACAGCACAGGTTCATGTGCTGCCTTAACCCGCCTCCTGTGCGGGATTAAAGTCATCTTGGTCAGCCCTGTCCAGGTTCCGTGACCACTGAGGACTTGTGGAACGGGAGAGGGGCTGCTACCCAAGGAAGTGTGGGTGCCTGACACCCACTACGGTGGTCAGCAGACACTACCCTGTAATAACAAGCCAGACGCTGAGCTAGAGGACCACACGGAAGACTTCAGTGGAGCCCAGAGCTCACTCTGTGAGGCTGATCCCGCATGAGGCATCTGCCTGCCCTGTGAATTAAAAGGCTCTTCCTCCCGCTGTGGCTTCAGGGCTGGCTTTGAGACACTGAGAAACACGATCTGGGCTCTGCAATACACTCATTGTCCGCTTAGGAGGACCCAAAAGCCACTGGGATTCCTCTGGTTGTCTCTGTACTGATAGTCGTGAGGCTAAGACCATCGTCCCAGTTGTTCATTCCGGATCATTTAAGTTAAGCTTGTATCTTTCTGTGAATATACGTAGAGGGGAGAGAAGCCTCGTCATGGTGTCCAAGAGGCTCCATTCCCCTGAGTGCTAGGATTAAAGGCGTGCACCGCCACACCTAGCTAGGATGTATGCTCCAGCACTCAGGAGGCACAAGCAGGCAGATCTCTGAGCTTGAGGCCAGCCTGGTCTACAGAGAGTACAAGGACATCCAGAGCTACACAGAGGAAGCTTGCCCCAAATAAAGAAGCAAGCAAACAAGCAAACGAAAAAAAGAACACACATTCTTTGTGATAGCATTTAAGAATAACTAACCCAGTTAGTTGAGACTAAGAGCTCCCTCCATCCCGCAGGACATCTTTCATCTGGAGATGCTTTTGTAGATCCTGCATCCCACCAAATGAAACATCTCTCCTACCCAGCTTTATTCTGCAGTCAGTTATTGCTTTGAGACTCATCAACTAACCACCACAGAAGAGTGGATCATACGGGTGCACGATAAATGTTTACTGAATAAATGAATGCGATTCAGATGATCTATCGGGGAGCTACTGGAGTCAGCTGGTGCCTGAGACAAGGCCACTGTGCATGTTTTAGGCAGCAGGGACCATCCTTAGTTTTTGTCCCTGGCTAGAGCTGAGGAGCCTTTCTCTGATCTCATCAATGCACATGTAAACTCAGTGTGTAAATATTGTATTGAATGCTTCCACACTGCCTACTGTCTACAAACTTAAGATTAAGTGGGCTGGCTGCAGACGCCACGTCTGTAGCAGAGAACATCCACGTGATCACTGACCCCACATCCAATAGCAAGAGCCGCCAGCATTTACTGAGCCTCGACATCTGCATGGCACTGTCCTGGTCTAATGCCACCGAGTCACACTGCTGTCACAAGGGTGCTCGCCTGATCTCCACTCTACAGTGGAGAAAAGTGATTTTGGAAGGATTTACCCACGTGGCAACTAGTTAATTCATGGCAGAGTCAGGGCTGAAGGCATCTATGTGGCTTCAGGCTTGACGCTGTCATTGAAAGCCACACAGCTTCCCGACACTTCAGGTCGCCCTTCCTTCGGGGACAGAATCATCATGTGGGATAAATGCTGTACACTGATGTACACTGAAAACTGTAAGGCCCCACGTGCCTTTCATGCTAACATGCTGTCGTCCAGTGCAAAGCAGTGTGCCAGCAGGAAGCACTAGAAGGCTAAATGGTGTTTCTTCCCACATCAGCAGCCCCTAGCGAACACCCATTTTTGTGCTGTCTACACAAAGACTAAAAGAGAGTCTCAGGAAGCTTCAAAAATTAATAAGGACCCACACTCCTCCAGGAGTTGCCTTTGCTTGGTGGTCTTGTATGCTGGCTAGACACGAATTCATTTAGGAAGAGAGAGCCTCAATTGAGAAAATATTCCCGCCAGACTGGCCTGTGGGGCATTCCCTAGATTGATGACTGATGGGGAGGGCCCAGCTCACTGTGGGAGGGGCCAACCCATGGGCTGCTGGTCTTGGGAGCTAGAAGAAGCCAGGCTGAGCAAGTCATGAGGGGCAAGCCAGTAAGCAGCTTTTCTCTGTGACCTCTGCATCAGCTCCCGCCCAGAGTTCCTGCAGGAGTTCCCTGGATGATGAACTATAAACTATAAGATAACATAAATCTTTTCCTCCCCAAGTAGCTTTCGGCCATGATGTTTTATTACAGCAATAGCAGCCCTAACCTAGACATCTTGTTTCTTTGGAAAAGAATGAGGTGAAGTTTGTGCCCTGTGGTCAACTCCCTGGGCTGTCAGGGGTAGGCCAACAGTGGAGGTAAAGCTGTCCAGGCTTTGGGATCACTTTCCAGAGAGGAAGGAAGTTCCTCCTTCCCACAAGCAGCAGCAGCAAGGCAGTGAAGTTAGTGGACTCAAAGCCTCAAAAGTAGCTCCTAGCTTCCCCGGTCACGTGGCCTCTGATAAGTCACTCAGCCTTCCTAAGGCCGTTTTCTCACCACTTCAAGGAAGGTGGTAGTGGTCATTTTGATAAGGAGAGAGAAGAGTTTGTGTCAGTGCCTAGCATACAGCAAAACATCAGCCAGGGACCAGCCAAAGCTGGAGAGAGCCGTGTCTTTCCTGTGACTGTGTGCACTAGTGGGAGAGGAGGGGGAGCCACTGCTCAGGATGAGGAGATGAGGGGAGATCCCTCAGGCCCCGGAGAAACAGCCCCCCCCCCGGAATCCTGGGAATCAGGAGCTGCCGCTGCTCACAAAACTCTGGCTTACCAACAGAACCGAGAAAGAGCAACGGCAGGACACTGTGTAAGGGCGGTTCAGTGCCTTTTCCTCATTAGAATCTTCTTGCTTGAGGATCCGTTGTCTCATTAGATCTCAAAACAAGCCCAGGAAAGGGCCCAAGGAAAAGATCAGGCCCATTTCACAGGCCGTGAGATCCACTAGGAGGTGATGGAATCCAGGGTTTGGGGTGCCACCGTTTCAGGAACACCTTGGTGGAGAAAGTGGGGGAGCACTACCTGCTTCTCTACCTCCCGACCCTCTGGAACCTTCCGCCAGCTCTGAGACGATGGACATTCTCTCCCACCAGGGCTTTGTCACATCCTGTCCCCGCTGCTGGGACAGCTGTGGTTCCCCCACTCCACTGCCCAGCCCTTCCTCAATTCATGCCCTCTCTTCCTTCTGATAGCGTCGCCGGAAGTCCAGGCAGAGCCCTTAGTTACATGCTGTTTTGCAGTCAGGCTCTTTTCCTCAGTGCTGCCTGTCACTGGTGGTGACTGTGTGTTGAAGAGTGCAACCTTTCAGTTGAGTCCATTGGCAGAGGCAACTTCTGGAAGGCAAGTTCCTATCCATCCTTCTTTCCATGCGTTTTCAGTGATTAGCATCCAATGGCCATTTATTTGGAGCGTGAACCTGGGAGATGTGTGTATTTGGGGGAGGTCAGGGTCCTCCCGTCTTCACCTCTGGATCCCCAGCTGGCAAGGTATTGGAGGGGCCAGTCTGATGGAGCCATTTCAACACTAAGACCCTTCCAATGTACAAAGTAATGCGATTCCATTGCCACATACATAATCAGCAGCGTTCCCTCACCCTAGACGGAAGGGACTCCTACAGTCTATGTGTGGCTTGAATTTTTATGATGTGAGTTATTCAGGGGATCAGAAAAGGCCATAAAAGTAAATTTCAGTCTGCCAGAACTGGTTCTGACTCCAAGGCTACATTAGTTCTGTCTCTGAAAGTCATAATGTGGAAGGAAAAGTATTTAGTGCGTCTTTATTGAAGGTACTTAAGCACTAGAAGCGTAACTGAGAGTTTTTCTAAGCACTGTGAGGGCCAGGAAAAGGGTGACGCTATGGTTAGAACGTCCTCCTTGCCCCAGCAGCACACTGTTCGGTTTCGGGGTCCGGCAGAGAACTGGGAGGTGGGGTTAGGTCCCAGTGACCGTGGTGGTCACAGCTTGATACCACACCCTTTACTTACCTCCCTTCATTGTTGTTGGATTCCAGTGTCTCCTGGATCTGCCTCCTGAGAGAACTGCTCGTTTTCACGCTTCTGAGGAACCCAAGCTCACACATCCATGTAACTGACTGTTCTGAGCACGTGACCAAACAATTTTCAGGGTTGCCCGACTCTCTGCCTCCTAAAAATGAAACTAATCTGGTTAGGTGAAGAGTTGAGTTTAAACTGCACACAGTAGACTCATGGCTAGCCCTGCCAAAGAGCAGGTACATAGCTTCGCCTCAGCCAGTCAGTCTACTTTGTATTTCTTCATCTTGAATTGTTATGTGCTGAATTGTAGTGACACCTTCTAAACTCTCGTCTTACGAAGTATCCCGTGAGCTCAGCCTCTTACCAAGCCTACGGCTAAAGGGCTAGAAGGAAGACCACGTCAGAGCACCAACCCGGTTTTGTTGTGTTTGTTTCTTCATCAACAGCTTTGTGGTCTAAGGAACCTGAATTTAAGAGCGGGGTCTTGCTACCTTTCCTTTGATTACACAGTGTTTAATGCTGCTTGGGCCTGGAGAACAGCCAGGGCTTTCAGAGACTCGTGGGAGGGTTTTGGGGCCTTGCTGTTCATCAGAATCATGTGCAGGACTTTCTGTTTGGGGGATTCCTGGGGTCCACCCCAGAGCCACGGCAGTCAGTGTTGAGGCAGCAGCATCTGGTGGCTCGGATGTGCAGCCAGGAGGAGAATCACTGATGGCGGCTGGAGGGATTAAGCCATGTGTGCCACAGCTCTGGACAAGAAGGAAAAGCTAAAAACATGTGGGAGACAGCACATCACAATCACACAGTCACTGCTCGCATCTGGCCTGTCCTTGCTTTGTACCACTCTGTCCTCATTTGTCTGCCTAGGCACTGGAGCCAAGATACTTCATGAGCTCCCTCAGCAACCACACCATCTTCTAACACAGTAACCACGCCATCCTCCGACACGGCAACCACGCCGTCCTCTAACCCAGCCAAGCCCCTTCTCTATTTTCTCATTTGCAAGTTTGGGTAGTGGAGCCTTGCACATTCCATTTTCCTGTATTTTAATCCCCCTGTCTCCAATCTACGTGATTTCTGCTCCTTCAGTTATTACCTCAGCCATGGTGAGTGTAGGTGCCTTAGTCCCTGGATGTAATTCTGAGGTGTTCCTTGTCCCCAGAAACAAAGAAATCAAGTTGCAGCCTGAATGACTTGCCATGTAGCTGTGGCTGGTCATTACTTAATTACATGCTAGCTATTGACAGGTTTAGGACTCTGGAGATCATCTTTAAGCCTGATAATCTTCCCTCATAAAACGTGGAGAAACCGCAATGACCATTTGAGATGCTAAGTCACAGAAACATAGCTTATGGAGGTTCCCGAGAGTCGAGAAATTTGCACACTTAGTATGGGCACCTTTTTTTTTCCTAAGAAGACAGTATAGTTTGTAGCTTTTTACTAACTTCTTGCAGACAAGATAAGATTTCTCTATGTATCTCAGATAGCCCTAGAACTTGAGATCCTCCTACCTCAACCTCCTGATGCTGATTGCATGAATATACGACATCTAAATGAATATCTTGGACTGGCTATGTCACTCAGTGGGTAGAGCGTTTGCCTAGGATGCATGAAATCCTAGGTTTGAGCCTCAGTATAAAACCTGGCTTGGCAGTGCATCTCTCAAATGC